CCAAGGCAAGGCAAGGCAAGGCAAGGCAAGGCAAGGCAAGGCAAGGCAAGGCAAGGCAAGGCAAGGCAAGGCAAGGCAAGGCAAGGCAAGGCAAGGCAAGGCAAGGCAAGGCAAGGCAAGGCAAGGCAAGGCAAGGCAAGGCAAGGCAAGGCAAGGCAAGGCAAGGCAAGGCAAGGCAAGGCAAGGCAAGGCAAGGCAAGGCAAGGCAAGGCAAGGCAAGGCAAGGCAAGGCAAGGCAAGGCAAGGCAAGGCAAGGCAAGGCAAGGCAAGGCAAGGCAAGGCAAGGCAAGGCAAGGCAAGGCAAGGCAAGGCAAGGCAAGGCAAGGCAAGGCAAGGCAAGGCAAGGCAAGGCAAGGCAAGGCAAGGCAAGGCAAGGCAAGGCAAGGCAAGGCAAGGCAAGGCAAGGCAAGGCAAGCAAGGCAAGGCAAGGCAAGGCAAGGCAAGGCAAGGCAAGGCAAGGCAAGGCAAGGCAAGGCAAGGCAAGGCAAGGCAAGGCAAGGCAAGGCAAGGCAAGGCAAGGCAAGGCAAGGCAAGGCAAGGCAAGGCAAGGCAAGGCAAGGCAAGGCAAGGCAAGGCAAGGCAAGGCAAGGCAAGGCAAGGCAAGGCAAGGCAAGGCAAGGCAAGGCAAGGCAAGGCAAGGCAAGGCAAGGCAAGGCAAGGCAAGGCAAGGCAAGGCAAGGCAAGGCAAGGCAAGGCAAGGCAAGGCAAGGCAAGGCAAGGCAAGGCAAGCAAGGCAAGGCAAGGCAAGGCAAGGCAAGGCAAGGCAAGGCAAGGCAAGGCAAGGCAAGGCAAGGCAAGGCAAGGCAAGGCAAGGCAAGGCAAGGCAAGGCAAGGCAAGGCAAGGCAAGGCAAGGCAAGGCAAGGCAAGGCAAGGCAAGGCAAGGCAAGGCAAGGCAAGGCAAGGCAAGGCAAGGCAAGGCAAGGCAAGGCAAGGCAAGGCAAGGCAAGGCAAGGCAAGGCAAGGCAAGGCAAGGCAAGGCAAGGCAAGGCAAGGCAAGGCAAGGCAAGGCAAGGCAAGGCAAGGCAAGGCAAGGCAAGGCAAGGCAAGGCAAGGCAAGGCAAGGCAAGGCAAGGCAAGGCAAGGCAAGGCAAGGCAAGGCAAGGCAAGGCAAGGCAAGGCAAGGCAAGGCAAGGCAAGGCAAGGCAAGGCAAGGCAAGGCAAGGCAAGGCAAGGCAAGGCAAGGCAAGGCAAGGCAAGGCAAGGCAAGGCAAGGCAAGGCAAGGCAAGGCAAGGCAAGGCAAGGCAAGGCAAGGCAAGGCAAGGCAAGGCAAGGCAAGGCAAGGCAAGGCAAGGCAAGGCAAGGCAAGGCAAGGCAAGGCAAGGCAAGGCAAGGCAAGGCAAGGCAAGGCAAGGCAAGGCAAGGCAAGGCAAGGCAAGGCAAGGCAAGGCAAGGCAAGGCAAGGCAAGGCAAGGCAAGGCAAGGCAAGGCAAGGCAAGGCAAGGCAAGGCAAGGCAAGGCAAGGCAAGGCAAGGCAAGGCAAGGCAAGGCAAGGCAAGGCAAGGCAAGGCAAGGCAAGGCAAGGCAAGGCAAGGCAAGGCAAGGCAAGGCAAGGCAAGGCAAGGCAAGGCAAGGCAAGGCAAGGCAAGGCAAGGCAAGGCAAGGCAAGGCAAGGCAAGGCAAGGCAAGGCAAGGCAAGGCAAGGCAAGGCAAGGCAAGGCAAGGCAAGGCAAGGCAAGGCAAGGCAAGGCAAGGCAAGGCAAGGCAAGGCAAGGCAAGGCAAGGCAAGGCAAGGCAAGGCAAGGCAAGGCAAGGCAAGGCAAGGCAAGGCAAGGCAAGGCAAGGCAAGGCAAGGCAAGGCAAGGCAAGGCAAGGCAAGGCAAGGCAAGGCAAGGCAAGGCAAGGCAAGGCAAGGCAAGGCAAGGCAAGGCAAGGCAAGGCAAGGCAAGGCAAGGCAAGGCAAGGCAAGGCAAGGCAAGGCAAGGCAAGGCAAGGCAAGGCAAGGCAAGGCAAGGCAAGGCAAGGCAAGGCAAGGCAAGGCAAGGCAAGGCAAGGCAAGGCAAGGCAAGGCAAGGCAAGGCAAGGCAAGGCAAGGCAAGGCAAGGCAAGGCAAGGCAAGGCAAGGCAAGGCAAGGCAAGGCAAGGCAAGGCAAGGCAAGGCAAGGCAAGGCAAGGCAAGGCAAGGCAAGGCAAGGCAAGGCAAGGCAAGGCAAGGCAAGGCAAGGCAAGGCAAGGCAAGGCAAGGCAAGGCAAGGCAAGGCAAGGCAAGGCAAGGCAAGGCAAGGCAAGGCAAGGCAAGGCAAGGCAAGGCAAGGCAAGGCAAGGCAAGGCAAGGCAAGGCAAGGCAAGGCAAGGCAAGGCAAGGCAAGGCAAGGCAAGGCAAGGCAAGGCAAGGCAAGGCAAGGCAAGGCAAGGCAAGGCAAGGCAAGGCAAGGCAAGGCAAGGCAAGGCAAGGCAAGGCAAGGCAAGGCAAGGCAAGGCAAGGCAAGGCAAGGCAAGGCAAGGCAAGGCAAGGCAAGGCAAGGCAAGGCAAGGCAAGGCAAGGCAAGGCAAGGCAAGGCAAGGCAAGGCAAGGCAAGGCAAGGCAAGGCAAGGCAAGGCAAGGCAAGGCAAGGCAAGGCAAGGCAAGGCAAGGCAAGGCAAGGCAAGGCAAGGCAAGGCAAGGCAAGGCAAGGCAAGGCAAGGCAAGGCAAGGCAAGGCAAGGCAAGGCAAGGCAAGGCAAGGCAAGGCAAGGCAAGGCAAGGCAAGGCAAGGCAAGGCAAGGCAAGGCAAGGCAAGGCAAGGCAAGGCAAGGCAAGGCAAGGCAAGGCAAGGCAAGGCAAGGCAAGGCAAGGCAAGGCAAGGCAAGGCAAGGCAAGGCAAGGCAAGGCAAGGCAAGGCAAGGCAAGGCAAGGCAAGGCAAGGCAAGGCAAGGCAAGGCAAGGCAAGGCAAGGCAAGGCAAGGCAAGGCAAGGCAAGGCAAGGCAAGGCAAGGCAAGGCAAGGCAAGGCAAGGCAAGGCAAGGCAAGGCAAGGCAAGGCAAGGCAAGGCAAGGCAAGGCAAGGCAAGGCAAGGCAAGGCAAGGCAAGGCAAGGCAAGGCAAGGCAAGGCAAGGCAAGGCAAGGCAAGGCAAGGCAAGGCAAGGCAAGGCAAGGCAAGGCAAGGCAAGGCAAGGCAAGGCAAGGCAAGGCAAGGCAAGGCAAGGCAAGGCAAGGCAAGGCAAGGCAAGGCAAGGCAAGGCAAGGCAAGGCAAGGCAAGGCAAGGCAAGGCAAGGCAAGGCAAGGCAAGGCAAGGCAAGGCAAGGCAAGGCAAGGCAAGGCAAGGCAAGGCAAGGCAAGGCAAGGCAAGGCAAGGCAAGGCAAGGCAAGGCAAGGCAAGGCAAGGCAAGGCAAGGCAAGGCAAGGCAAGGCAAGGCAAGGCAAGGCAAGCAAGGCAAGGCAAGGCAAGGCAAGGCAAGGCAAGGCAAGGCAAGGCAAGGCAAGGCAAGGCAAGGCAAGGCAAGGCAAGGCAAGGCAAGGCAAGGCAAGGCAAGGCAAGGCAAGGCAAGGCAAGGCAAGGCAAGGCAAGGCAAGGCAAGGCAAGGCAAGGCAAGGCAAGGCAAGGCAAGGCAAGGCAAGGCAAGGCAAGGCAAGGCAAGGCAAGGCAAGGCAAGGCAAGGCAAGGCAAGGCAAGGCAAGGCAAGGCAAGGCAAGGCAAGGCAAGGCAAGGCAAGGCAAGGCAAGGCAAGGCAAGGCAAGGCAAGGCAAGGCAAGGCAAGGCAAGGCAAGGCAAGGCAAGGCAAGGCAAGGCAAGGCAAGGCAAGGCAAGGCAAGGCAAGGCAAGGCAAGGCAAGGCAAGGCAAGGCAAGGCAAGGCAAGGCAAGGCAAGGCAAGGCAAGGCAAGGCAAGGCAAGGCAAGGCAAGGCAAGGCAAGGCAAGGCAAGGCAAGGCAAGGCAAGGCAAGGCAAGGCAAGGCAAGGCAAGGCAAGGCAAGGCAAGGCAAGGCAAGGCAAGGCAAGGCAAGGCAAGGCAAGGCAAGGCGCCCCTCGCATGAGGAACATGGACACACCTGCTCTCCCCAGATCAAAAGTCTTCAGGTTTTGTAAATATTTTACAGGAGAAGAGCATTTTGATGATTTTGTAGTGTAACTTGCCAAAGCGGTGAGCTGGGCGGTAATTTATAATCGAGCTACAGATCTCATTGTTGAACAGCTGGCTTTTGAAAATGCACCTCCAGGTTGCCAAAGCTTATTTCAACCAGTAACAAGACCAGGAGACTCATGAGACTATGTTCCAGCTTGTGCTAAGGTAAATCCATCTTACATGCAAGGGTTAACTATTGCTGGAGCTCTTCAAGCTCAGATGTTAAAGAACATTAGATGCATGTGTTCGCTATTCAGTGGTGCTACTTTTTTTCAGGGTGATATACTTTGTTGTTGATGTTGTTGCTGTTGTTGTTAATGTGGCTGTTATGAATTGATGCCAATCTGAAACACTAATATTATTTCAACCCTGTATCTCATGCAATAAGATATTGTGAAGTAATCAATGAATCAATAATCGATATGAGTCAGACTGCTTCTGATCTACATCAAAGAATTGTAAAACCTAATACACTTGAAGGGCTCTATGCTACTCAGATAGGGGGAGGGAGAGCAGAGAAATCTTACATCACCCAAGAAGGTGTGAGGAAGATGGGAAGTATAACCTATCAGGATCATAACTGGTAACTCATAGACAACAGACTCAAATCAGCATTAGACAATAGCAAAACTACGAGGGCATATGGGGGCAATCAGGAGCAATCCCAACAACCTCTTAACAGGAGGTCATATGCACAGAGCAGGGGGGGACCCCACAGTGCAGCAGGCAGACAGGAGGAAGCTTGTATCCCAACTCTGAAAACTCCTAGATCCTCACCAAGGACTATCACTACGAGCTCCGAGGACTACATCCCAACCGCCAAGGAGACCACGGGGAATTGGAGTGCCTTTGGAGGCCAAGAACTCGGAGGTCACCCATTTCCATTTGGGTCTCCCACATGGGATGGAAGAAGCCCATACCCCGCCTTGCAGGATCCAAGGTCATCGGAATGACAACCAGGAGCACTTAGCGGTCCGCAGAAACAAACTTCCTTCAGGACTAGGGAGAGGAGCTTTGTCTGGTTCTTGCCTGGTTCTAACTTTGGGTCCCTACTCTCTCTCATGATGACCATCAGGATTGCTCCAGAAACCCCTCAAAACAAACAAACAAACAAATAAACAAACAAAAAAAAAACCCTAGAATAGATGGAGAACAGCAAGGAAAGCTTAGAAACAGGAAATGGGCAGTGGGGATGCACTTAGAACTCACCGGGTGGGACACAAAGATTGGTTGCTCCTCACTAGGGTATTGAAAATTTCTCTGCACACCCCTCCTAAAACTGTTCACCTAAACTGTTGACATATCTCTTGTTACAGTTATAGACTACCCAAAAAACAGCCAGGTTCTGCAAAGTCATGCTTCAACACTATTAACTGCTAAATACAAAAATTAAAATAGACATGAGACAGCTGAATAGTAATCTATAGCCATTTTAAGGTGTATAGAACCCAGCTGTATATAAACTAATAATTATAATGTCAATGTAGAAGTCATAGGATATGGTTCAGAACTTGTACTCTTGTTGTTGTTATTGTTTCTCTCTCTCTTTGAACATGCTGGTTACACAATACCATGTCAACTAATTCCATTACGTTATAAATCGCTACTGATGTAATGTCGGGGCTTTCAATTGATTGGGATGATACTCTTTCAGCTGTACCTTCGGACCAGAGACTGTCTCCCCAAGAAACTGTTGAACTTATCGGCACAATAAGATGCTGCACTCTATGCTTTGTAGATGCTTGCAAGGAAAAAAATCTCAACTCAATTTGACCTGTGGTAATGCAACAAGATGGAAGAATCTGCCACGGGGGGGGGGGGGGGGAGCGGGGAATCCCAGTGCCTGTAAAACTGTGTCGCATGATGCAATGTAATAAAATAATAATAATAATAAAAGAACATTAGATGTCAACAAAGAAGAAAGCAAGAAACAATTGCTCTTCATGTGGTGGAGTCGGGCATTTCAGCAACAGCGCTCCCACCAGAAATTTGTCTCACAATTTCAAACAGGAAAAAACATATGGACACTCTTAAACCCAATTTAAATATTCCTCGCACCAGCTGTCCACACTGTGAGAAGGGATTTCATTGGCAAAAAGCTTGTCGGTCTAAATTGCACAAGAATGGGACTGTCCTATTACCTTGAGGTCAATCTAACATGAGTTATCAGCCTGTAGAGGGTTACATGCCAGGAACTGAGAGGTGGGCTCAGTCCTGGACCCCCCAAGTAAGGAGGACATTGTATGGATATTGGCTCTGAAGGGTACAAAACTCAAATGTTGACTGCTGCATTAAACACTAGATTAGAGGAAAATAGACTTAAATGTCACACTTGCGGCAAATTGGGTCACATGTGCAAAGATTGTAGTAAACAAAACACCCAAAAATCTGGTACACAAGTTATGGCTTATCTAAAAGCCTGCCACAACATGACGACTTTGAAACATCCTACCCACCTGGCAGGGCTTAAAACCTTTGCTGTCGAAAAGCAAATGAATGTTAAAAGCTTTCATTGTGACAGACTCAAATACCTTCAACATCAACGAAAAATGTGGCACTAACTGCTAACGATCACTACCCCCAAATACGTCCTAAATACCATAGAGGCCTTCATTGGACAAAAATATATACATCTAAAATGGATCATGAAACCCAGTGCCTGTGGTCAGAGAACTCCTGGCAGGGCCAGTCCCAGGCCCTGCACAATCAGAGCTTTATAAAATACCAATATTTTATCCAGTCAGTCTGTGCCTTTAGAAGAGTAGCAGACTTAAACCCTGATACTGAGAGTGGAAATGCTACTTAAAAGTTGTTATCTTTCTTGGCAATTAATTATACTACCTACTGTTCAACCTCCCCATCCCCCAACTAGATGCTTGTAATAACAAGGGCCTTTAGAGTGGCTACATCTTCCTTGCATGAATAAAAAGGTTATGACTCCTTATTGTACTTTGGTCACCACCTTAATGATAAAGAGATATCCTCGGCATAAGAAGCAGTCCAAGTCCATGCAGGACTCAAGCTACTTTCCAAAACGGACTGCTGATAAGTAACTTACGGTTGGACCCTTGGGCTCCCTCACCCTTTCCTGAGATGGCTCTGTATGCACTGAAATGTGTATTAAGTGTATTGTTACTGTCTCGATTCTTCCCTGACGCGTGGTACTGTTGTTATCTTGAGAAAACCGTCATATGTAATGTTACCGTAAACTTGACTGACCCAAGGTAGGATGCTGCCACTCTTTATGCATTGGACTACATTCCTATAGCTTTATCCCATCCATAACTGCTGGGGTCCGTGCAGTAGGTATGGATGACACGAAGGTGTGAAGAGAACAGCTCCCTGCTTGGCAGGGCCTGGGGAGCTTCCAGCTGTTTGGCAGGGCCCGGCGATTTCTCTCTGACCACCTTGACGCAGTCTCACCCCCTGTTTGCATGGACACTCAAGTATCCCACTAAGAATTCTGTAATCTATTGAGGCATTGTTTGCCCCTGTGAGATGGCTTTAGCAACTACTGTGAGCTTAAGAGTTAATGTTATTGATAATGTCTTAGTGAGTGGGCCTTTAACTGCGCACAGGAGTACAATTAAACCCATGCCATTTCTGGACACCTTATTGTGTGCCTACCCATTGCCCTGAAATCGGGCCCAGACATATAGCATGCCTTCTGGGAAACGGCTTAACAAGACTTTTACAAACTAATGGAAGTGATGGGAGTATGAGCTGAAACTGCTATGGCAAAAATATAGTTGCTGTGACCTTAAAGGTTAACCTGTCCTTGCAACTCTTTAGAGCATAGAAAATGTAGCTACTTTAGCCACTTTCATAATCTTTTAACTAGAGGAAATATAGGATGATTCTATTAACATCACAGAGATATACTTTTGATTATTGTTTGATTGCTTATGAGGCTGTAGAGCCTGCAGTCGTAGGGGGATTTAATGTTTGAAATTTTTTGTCTTAGACCCTTATATTTTTTCTCTTTTGATGTATTTCTCCCATTATGTGATAGATAAAGTTGTGAAAATAAAATGTAGTAAGAATGTTTTACTAATTAGTAGGTAACCATCTGTGCCTTGGCCTTGGAGTTCTGGCTGTCACCTAGTGGCCACTTCTGAAGAATGAATAACGGCTTGCTTTAAAGAAACTGATTATAGTAACTTACAGAATTATCTTTAAGAGCACCTGGTTGACCATGAAGTAAAAATTAATTGAACATCTGTGCATGCTGTCTCAGTTCTAAAGTAAAAGATAAAAAAATCAAACGTTTGTGCAGAAGTTTGTGATGTGTCTAAGAAAATAAAAAGAACAGCTTCTTCTTGAGCGAGCGAAGCTGAAAGCAAGCGAGCAAGCAAGAAGCAAGCAGGCAGAAAAAACGCAACAAGTGTCTGTGTCTTTCTTTATCGCCGACTCCACGCACCCTTCCCGAGCTCCGAACTCAGCTGGAGCTGGACTCCGGCACATAACGCTTTGTGGTTTCCTTATTTTAAGGTCTGCCTTTCTTACCCTCATTGGATCTCTTGCAGCTTCAGCGACTGCCCTTACCCAACAAGTTCATACAGCTCATCAGGTTAATACTCTTTTTCGTAATGTTAGCCTGCCTTATTTACCCAGGAGAGTATTGATAAAGATTTAGAGGCTAAGACGAACGCATTAGAAGAGGCAGTGATTTCTATTGGCAATGAAACTTAAAACCCAGATTTGGTGCCACTTGCCAAAGTATTTTCAAATGGATCCGTATCACTCCTCTCCCTAATAATGAGTCACCTGTCTCTTGGAATGATGTTAAAACTCATCTCCAAGGTGCATGCAATAGGACTTCTACTACCCTTAGCATCCAGGAATTACATGCCCAGATTTGTGCCATCTCTTACTCTCACCTTCTGGCCCCTTCCATGGAAGGTGTTGCTCATCCATTTTTACATTCTTTCATCTTTTATTTCTGATAAGACCTTTTCTTCATTCTTTACTAGTTTGGGAATCATGCTAATTGTTCTCCTTTTTGTGTTTTCTTGTTCCAGTCATCTTCCGACCATTCAGCTCCATGATTCAACCCACTTGTACAGCGCTGCACCTCCTTCAACCTAATAAGTAGGAAATGCTGAATTCTGTGCACAAGGTGTGCATGGCACGAAGGTGTCAAGAGAACAACTCCCCTGCTTGGCAGGCCCGGCACACTCCTTTCTGGCCACCTTGACACAGTCTCACCCCCTGTTCACAGAGACACTCAACCACCCCACTACAAATTTTGTCATCTATTGAGCCATTATTTGCCCCTGCAAGATGGCTTTTGCAACCAACATGAGCTTGAGAGTTAATGTTATTGGTAATGTCCCGGTGAGTACACCTTTGACAATTTACACACAGGAGTACAATGAAATCCATCACGTATCTGCACACCTTATTGTGTGCCTACCCATTGCCCTGAAATCTGACCCAGATATATAGCATGCCTTCTGTAAAACGGCTTGATCAGATTTTTACAAAGTAATGGAAGTGATGGGAGTATGAGTGGAAGCTGCAATGGCAAAAAATATACTTACAGCGACTCTAAAGGTTAGCCTGTCCTTGCAACTCTTTAGAGCATAGGAAATGTAGTTGTTTCAGCTGCTTCCAAAATGTTTTAACTAGAGAAAACATAGAGCAATTTTATTACCATCATACAGATATACTTTGCATTATTGTTTGATTGTTTATGAGGTTGTAGAGCCTGCAGTGGTAGGGGGATTTACTGTTTGAAACTTTTTCTCTTAGATCTTTTCTTTCTCTTCTCTTTTGATGTATCTCTCCCATTCAGTGATAGATAAGTTGTGAACATAAAACGTAGTGGGAATGTTTCACTGATTAGTAGGCAGCCATCTGTGCCTTGCCCTTGGAGTCCGGACTGTCACCTAATGGCTACTTCTGAAGAGTGACTAACAACGCTAAAGAGACTGATGACAGTAACTAAAATCAAACGATTGTGCAGAGGCTTGTAATGTGTCTGAGTAAATAAAAAGGACTGCTTCTCCTTGAGCTGCAGCAAGAAGGCATCGAGTGACAGTGTCTCAGTCTTTTGTCACCGCCGACTCCACACACCCTCCTCGAGCTCCGAACTCACCTAGAGCTGTACTTGGGCACGCCCGCCTACCTTTCTCACTAAAACTTTTCCTCGTGGCCATCACATTCCTGCTTTTCGACTTAGACATTGCCCTTCCCCTTCCCCTTCCCGGAGCTACTCAAACCAACAACTTAATGTCAATACTCACCATCGCACTACTCCTTAGCTCAGTCTTAGCAATAGGCCTAGCCTACCAGAGAATCCAAAAAGGCCTAGCGTGCGTGGAATAGGATAATTACTTGAAACGAAACAAATGATTTCGACTCATTAGATTGTGGCTTACCCAGAATTCTCAATATGTCTATTACTACCTTAAATATTACAGTAGCTTTCCTAATAGCTCCATTTGGCATATTCGTTGATCGATCTCCCCTAATATCCTCACTACTGCGCTTAGAAGGTAGAATACTATGCCTGTTTGTACGAGCCACCACTATTTCACTCAATAGAAATTTTACCCTGTCGTTTGTATCCCCAGTCATCTTATTGGCCTTCGCAGGCTGCGAGGCTGCCGATGGATTGGCTCTACTAGTCATCATATCCAACACAGTTGGCCTAGACTATGTACATAACCTAAACATCCTACAGTGTTAAATAATCCCCACAATTATACTCCTACCATCGACTTGATACTCAGAAAACAAAACACTATGAATTAACACCACAATCCACAGCCTCCTCATCGGCCTTGTGCCACTACTACTAATAAATCAACATAACGTACACAACCTAAACCTCTCCCTCATATTCTCGTCTGATCCATCATCTACCCCCCTCTTAATCTAACATTCTGACTACTACCACAAATACTAATTGCCAGCCAAAACCATCTCTCCAAAGAAAGCCCACCACGAAAAACATCTATTTATTTCAATACTAGTTCCTATTACAGATCTTCCTACTTATGACATGCTTGGCTACTGAACTCATTTAGTCTACATTCTACTTGAAGGCACCCTTATTCCAACACTTACTACTATTTCTTACTGCGATAATCAAACAGAACGACTCAATGCATAAAACTACTTTTTTATTTTATACCTTAGCACAAGCCTTCCCCCCAAATCAGAGGTAAAGACTCTGGCAGCTGTGAGGCATATCAATGCTTTACCTCACACATGCTTTTAGGACAGGCCACTCATGTTGGGATTTCAGAACAGCTTACTCTGCCTAAGCGGAAGTTACAGTGTAAGAGCTTAGAATAACTGCCTGATTCTGCTTCTGTATATTGCTTTCTGCTGAGCTAGAGTAGAGCCATGTTAGAACAAGTATAGAGAAGTCATTTCATGAAACAAGTAAAGTTTTAGTTTCCCAGAAATGAGTCAGACAATTACAGGAATACAGAAGATAAAGAAGCAAGGCCAACGCAAGAATGTAATGGATAGAAAGTGACAAGGATACCGACTGTCAACAATTGAGAAAATATACAAAGTTAAGGGACCCCCGGACTATCTAATCTGAAAGTGAGAAATGCTGACTTTTATGCAGAGTTTATGATTTTACCCTATAAAAACTGTTCCAAAATGTTTCTGATGCGCGCAGAGTCCTGGGTGCCTCCACAGACTCTGTTGCCCATTCGCGAATGCTCAATAAAATCCTCATGCGTATTGCAGCCTCTGCGTTTGACTTGTTTTGCCAATGACGGTGCGGCTCCCCTCCACGGGGTTGGACTCTCCCCGAGTCTAACATTTTGCTGCATTGGCCGGGAATGGAGCGACTGTCTTCAGCAAACAACTCTCGCAGAGGGAGGTAAGACCGATCGGAAAGTGTGTTTTTGTTTTTGTGTTGTTCTGTACTGTCCTTGTCCCCCCCAGTCTTTGAACGGTACCGGCTTGATCTTGTACGCCGGGGGATGCTCCGGTGCCTTGCAGACGGGGTGAAGATCATGTCACCCTCGTCTGGCCTTGTACGCCGGGGGATGCCCCGGTGCCTTGGAGACGGGGTGAAGATCACTTCACCCTCGTCTGGCTTTGTGTGGTCGACCTTCTTGTATTTTGTATCGGGCCCTTAGGAAATCTTGCATCGCGCGAATCCTGTTTGTGTCATTTGTTTTGTAATTATTGTGTGTGGTCTTTTGTCTTTCATTATGGAACAGACTGTGATGATTCCCCTTAGTTTGACTCTTGACCATTGGACTGAAGTTAAGGACAGGACTCACGACCTCTCCCTCCCGGTTAAGAAAAGATCTTGGCAGACTTTCTGCTCTGCAGAAGGGCCCCGTTTTCAACCTGGGCTGCTTATCATCCAAGCAGTTTAAAGGATTGTTTTTTCCAACAGGTCCAAAAAGCCACCCTGATCAGCAGCCTTATCCTGGTTTGAAATCTTTCTGGGAATCCCCCCATGGATCCGTCTCTGGTTTTCCCCTTGCCCGGCACAGGTACCGCTGTGGCTGCCCTGAGGTCAACAGATTGACCCAAGAAGACTTTTATCGGATCCTCCTCCTGTTTCACTCCCTCCGAGGGACCACTGCGGGAGTAGGCAGGCCGGGAACCCCAGACACCACTGTGGCCCTCCCTCTCCAGGCATTTAGGCCTCAAGGGACAAAAGGCAAATGGGTTGCAGCCTCTGCTTTATTGGCCTTTCTCTTTCTCTTCAGCAGATTTATATAAATGAAGTTAAGTGTCCTTTTAGAATCCCTGGTCTTTTCCCACCAGCCCTCCTGGGATGATTGTCAGCAGTTGTTGCAGACTCTTCACCACTGAGGAGAGAGAGCGCATCCGCCTAAAAGCCCGAAAAAATGTCCCAGGACCTGATGGACGCCCTACTCAATTGCAGAATGTTGTAAATTTCGGTTTCCCCTTGATGCGGCCGAATTGAGATTTCAACACCGTTAAAGGTAGGGAGCACCTCCGAATCTATCACCAGGCTCTCGTGGCTGGTCTCAGAGGGGCCGCGACGCGTCCCACAAACTTGGCTAAGGTAACAGAAATTCTTCAGGGGCCCACTGAACCCCCCTCTGTGCTCCTCAATTGCCTCATAGATCCAGAGGCAGAGGAACAGAGAGCCTTAATGACTATGGCTTTTATAAATCAGGCAGCTGCAAATATAAAGAAAATGCTTCAAAAATTAGACGGGCTAAAAAAAGAAATTCCCTGCAGAATCTAGTAAAGTAAGTTTATAAGAGGGACAGAGTAAGTGCATAAGAGAGACAGAGAATAAAAGAGAGAGAGAGCAGAAAAAGATTAAAGATGGGAAATAGGAAAAGAATTAAGGATAGGAAATAGGAAAGAATAAAGAATGGGAAATAGAAAAAGAATTTAATGAAAATCCTGGCCACCGTAGTCAAGGACAGGGAGAAAGATAAAAAAGAATATAAAAAAATAGGGACCCTGGGCAACTGGCGGCCTAGAAAAGCATTAACCAAAGACCAATGCGCCTATTATAAAGAAAAAAAGACACTGAGTTTAAGACTGCCCAGAAAAGAGAAACAAAATTGAGAGCCCAAATCACCTTTACAAGAATGAGACCCCGAGTAATAGATGGAGATAGTCACTTTTTTGCAAGTACTAACTGTATATAAAATTAAAAAATGAACATCACCTCTTTAAGATACCCCTGCCCCCTGGTTGCCAACCAGACTGGATAGACCGGCGCCCAGCAACGTGGGCAGAGACTGCCGGAATGGGACGAGCAGTGAGACCTAGCCCCCTTCCATGCCGATGAAACCTCTGCCCTGCTAGAAGAACTGGCTCAATTGGGACAACGGACATCTGCAAAGAAGGCCCAGATCTGCCAGAAGCCAACGGCACGTCAGGTTTGTGAATTCTGAGAATTGCTGGGTTCTGCAGACTGTGGATTCCAGGGTATACAGCCCTGGCAATACCCTTAAAGCCTTTGATGGGATCGAGCAGGCCTTACTGACCAGAACCTGCTCCTGAATTTGGAATGGATAAAGTTTGCCCCTATAGCCCATTTCAAAGCAGCTGCACTTCTGCCGGACATCAACCCTGGAGAGGTGGAGCCTCATAACTGTCAGGAAATTCTGGTCGAGACAGCAGGAATCCGTGATTTAAAAGACCAGCCACTGGCAGATGTGGAAGTTACCTGGTTCACAGATGGTAATAACTATATGGCAGAGGGTAAGCGGATGGCAGGGGTGGCGGTAATGCATGGACACAAAGTAATATGGACTAGTAAACTACCCGGGGGAATTTGCCCCCCCCCAAAAAAAAAGCAGAACTAATGACATTGACTCAGGCCCTGAGGCTAGCAGAAAGAATAAAGGCTACCAACTCGGGAGGATGGAGACAGGCCATATTGTCCTTCCAGAAGAAAAAGCTAATGCTCAAAAAGACTGGTTTACATTGGACTTAATTGAAAAAATAGTCAAGTACTGCACACCTTGCCAACAAGTTAATTCCCGTGGAAGAACCACAGTAACAAGAAAGAGACTGAAAAAAAAACAGACTTGAAAAGTTAATTTCATAGAGGTCAAGCCTACTAAATACGGGAACAAATATCTCCTAGTCTTCGTGGACACCTTTTCAAGATGGACGGAAGCCATCCCGACCAAGAAAAAGACTGCCATAGTAGTGGCTAAAAAGATTTTAAAAGAAATCATCCCCTGGTTTAGAATACCACAGGTAATAGGGTCTGACAATGGACCTGCCTTTGTTGCCCAGGTGAGTAAATAGGTGGCCACTATACTAGGGATTAATTAGAAATTACATTACACTCATAGACCCTAGAGCTCAGGTCAAGTAGAAAGAATAAACAGAACCTTAAAGGAGACCATGAGTAAATTAACCTTAGAGACTGGCTATTCAGATTGGATGGTGCTCCTACCACTAGCTTTATTCCGAGTATGAAACACCCCCTCCATATTTGGATTGACTCCCTTTGAAATATTGTATGGAAGCCCGCCACCGGCATCCTCTTTTTGTGATTTTGATCCTACCATATTCCCCCATTCACACTCGTTGCAGGCGCATCTCCAGGCCCTCCAGACAGTGAGAGAGTACATCTGGAAGCCACTTGCTGACCGTCCTACTGACTACTCCAACAGCCCTGAAAGTCGACGGAATTGCTGCCTGGGTACATGCCTCCCACATAAAGCACCCCAGGCCTCCCTGTGCCCTCCTTGCCTCCGCCCTCCCAGCCAGCCCTATGCAAATCCCCACAGGCAGGCTCCGGGGGCTCCTGCTCCCAGCACGCCTAGAGTCTGCAGATAACTTTTATAACAAGCCAGATGATATTTAATGTACTGTGTAAGAACTCTTGTTTGCAGTATTTATGGTGTTAATGACCTCTTGTAAGTTTCCTGGGGGCCACCCAGTGAAGGGTTTAATTTGTTCTAAAAGAGTCTACAGCTAGTGATGCCAGAAGTGTCTTGCCTGCAGCCCTTGGGTCCTGGCTGCTGGTTCCTGTATATTTAGACCAAGCCTAGTCTGCATTGCTTTGCTATAAACCTGTCCTGCAGTGTGAAGAGTGGCTGGAGTTTAGGGCTGTAGAGACAAAACCATAGAGACATCATGCGCCTGCACTGTCATAAGCGGTGTAGCTTTAAGTGCAAAGCTTGGTGTAAGAGGCAAACCTCTTACTGCCCAGACCTCTGGTAATTTCTGGGAGTTCTAGCCCAGTGTAGACCGAAACTGAGCTTTCCCTCACACTGTGGGCTAAACTCCCTCCCTGGCTGCTGCCAGGCACTTTCATGTCAACCCTCACAGTCCAAGCCAGCCCCCTGTTTCTGATGGCCTGCAGAACTCCAAATTACTGCTCCAGTGAATCCACTCCATACCTTTGACCCTTTTTTGTGCCCCAAATAGATGCTCTGTCCTTTACTTGGAGATAAAATGCAGCTTCCCAGTGATTAATGACTCACAGTGCCTGCCCCAAGGGAGCTGGCCAAGTATACTGCTGGCCCTTGGGCAATCCTTGTAAGAAAGTGACTATCAGAGAATAGGCTGAGAGATTGTGCAAGTGCCCTTGAATTTGGGTACGTTTATGTTTGTTAAAAGAATGTGTATGACCGTGGGGGGATGTGTGCTTATTGGCGTAAGTGGATGTTGACAGTTGCCTCCCTCCCTCTGCCCCGCTGGGCCGGCAGAGGGGTGGAAGTGCACCGTGGTGAGTAATTAAGAATGAAATAGTGCAATTAGAAGGCTATGAAAGAGTGTGCCAAGTAGAAAATGAGTGGTATTTACTTTAGATCGACTAAGACAGGTTAAATAAAAGACAGAAAGAATTGTCAGCCCAACAAAAATGGTTTAAAAACATGTTTTCTCAATCTCCCTGGCTAACTACTCTCGTTTCCACTTTAACAGGACCTTTATTATTATTGTTACTCCTTTTAACTATAAGACCTTGTATTATTAATCGCTTATTATATTTCATGAAAAATAGATTGTCTGTAATTCAAGCATTTGTATTAACCAGTCAATATCAGTTCTTACAAGAAAATGCCTATTAATGCTTATATTTTAAGATTAAAAATATGTCCTAAAAGAAAAGGGGGGAATGTAAGAGCTTAGAATAACCGCCTGATTCTGCTTCTGTATATTGCTTTCTGCTGAGCAAGAGCAGAGCCATGTTAGAACAAGTATAGAGAAGTCATTTCATGAAACAAGTAAAGTTTTAGTTTCCCAGAAATGAGTCAGACAATTACAGGAATACAGAAGATAAAGAAGCAAGGCCAACGCAAGAATGTAATGGATAAGAAAGTGACAAGGAATACAGACTGTCAACAATTGAGAAAATATACAAAGTTAAGGGACCCCCGGACTATCTAATCTGAAAGTGAGAAATGCTGACTGTTATGCAGAGTTTATGATTTTACCCTATAAAAATTGTTCCAAAATGTTTGTGAGGCGCGCAGAGTCCTGGGTGCCTCCAGAGACTCTGTTGCCCATTCGCGAATGCTCAATAAAATCCTCATGCTTATTGCAGCCTCTGCGTTTGACTTGTTTTGCCAATGACGGTGCGGCTCCCCTCCACGGGGTTGGACTCTCCCCGAATCTAACAACAGCTTATCTTTTCCCTGGTATGAGGAACATGGACACACCTGCTCTTCCCAGATCAAAAGTCTTCAGGTTTCATAAATATTTTACAGGAGCCTGAAGAGCGTTTTGATGATTTTGTACTTCAACTCGCCGAAGCGGTGAGCTGGGCGGTAATTTACAATCGAGCTACAGATCTCATTGTTGAATAGCTGGCTTTTGAAAATGCACCTCCAGGTTGCCAAAGCTTATTTCAACCAGTAACAAGACCAGGAGACTCATGAGACTATGTTCCAGCTTGTGCTAAGGTAAATCCATCTTACATGCAAGGATTTACTATTGCTGGAGCTCTTCAAGCTCAGATGTTACAGAACATTAGATGCATGTGTTGGCTATTCAGTGGTGTTACTTTTTTTCAGGGTGATATACTTTGTTGTCAATGTTGTTGCTGTTGTTGTTGATGTAGCTGTTATGAATTCATGTCAATCTGAAACACTAATATTATTTCAACCCCAAACAGCCTGTATCTCATGCAATAAGATATTGTGAAGTAATCAATGAATCAATAATCGATATGAGACAGACTGCTTCTGATCTACATCAAAGAATGGTAAAACCTAATATACTTGTAAGGCTCTATGCTACTCGGAAAGGGGAAGGGAGAGCAGAGAAATCTTACATCACCCAAGAAGGTGTGAGGAAGACGGGAAGTATAACCTATCAGGATCATAACCGGTAACTCATAGACAACAGACTCAAATCAGCATTAGACAATAGCAAAACTACGAGGGCATATGGGGGGAATCAGGAGCATCCAACAACCTCTTAACAGGAGGTCATATGCACAGAGTGGAGCAGGCAGACAGGAGGAAGCTCATATCCCAACTCTGAAGACTCCTAGATCCTCACCAAGGACTATCACTACGAGCTCCGAGGACTACATCCCAACCGCCAAGGAGACCACGGGGAATTGGAGTGCCTTTGGAGGCCGAGAACTCGGAGGTCACCTATTTCCATTTGGGTCTCCCACATGGGATGGAAGAAGCCCATACCCCGCCTTGCAGGATCCAAGGTCATCGGAATGACAACCAGGAGCACTTAGCGGTCCGCAGAAACAAACTTCCTTCAGGACTAGGGAGAGGAGCTTTGTCTGGTTCTTGACTGGTTCTAACTTTGGGTTCCTACTCTCTCTCATAATGACCATCAGGATTGCTCCAGAAACCCCTCAAAACAAACAAACAAATAAACAAAAAAACCCTCTAGAATAGATGGGGAACAGCAAGGAAAGCTTAGAAACAGGAAATGGGCAGTGGGCATGCACTTATAACTCACCGGGTGGGACACAAAGATTGGTTGCTCCTCACTGGGGTATTGCAGATTTCTCTGCACACCCCTCCTAAAACTGTTCACCTGAACTGTTGACATATCTCTTGTTACAGTTATAGACTACCCAAAAAACAGCCAGGTTTTGCAAAATCATGCTTCAACACTATGAACTGCTAACTACTAAAATTAAAATAGACATGAGACAGCTGAATAGTAATCTATAGCCATTTTAAGGTGTATAGAACCCAGCTGTATATAAACTAATAATTGTAATGTCAATGTAGAAGTCATAGGATGTGGTTCAGAACTTTTACTCTTTTGTTGTTGTTTCCTCTTTCTCTCTTTGAACATGCTGGTTACACAATACCATGCCAACTAATTCCATTACGTTATAAATCGCTACTGATGTAATGTCGGGGCTTTCAATTGATTGGGATGATACTTTTTCGGCTGTACCTTCGGACCAGAGACTGTCTCCCCAAGAAACTGTTGAACTTATCGGCACAATAAGATGCTGGACTCTATGCTTTGTAGATGCTTGCAAGGAAAAAAATCTCAACTGAATTTGACCTGTGGTAATGCAACAAGATGGAAGAATCCACCATGCGGCGGGGGAGCAGGTTTTGGGGAGGAGGGGGAATCCCAGTGCCTGTAAAACTGTGTCGCATGATGCAATGTAATAAAATAATAATAAAAAAAGAACATTAGATGTCATCAAAGAAGAAAGCAAGAAACAATTGCTCTTCATGTGGTGGAGTCGGGCATTTCAGCAACAGCGCTCCCACCAGAAATTTGTCTCACAATTTTAAACAGCAAAAAACATATGGACACTCCTAAACCCATTTTAAATATGCCTCGCACTGGCTATCCACGCTGTGAGAAGGGATTTCATTGGCAAAAAGCTTGTCGGTCTAAATTGCACAAGATTGGGACTGTCCTATTACCTTGAGGTCAATCTAACGTAAGTTATCAGCCTGTAGAGGGTTCCATGCCGGGAACTGAGAGGTGGGCTCAGTCCTGGACCCCCCAAGTAAGGAGGACATTGTATGGATATTGGCTCTGAAGGATACAAAACCCAAATGTTGACTGCTGCATTAAACACTAGATTAGAGGAAAATAGACTTAAATGTCACACTTGCGGCAAACTGGGTCATATGTGGAAAGATTGTAGTAAACAAAACACCCAAAAATCTGGTACACAAGTTATGGCTTATCTAAAAGCCTGCCACAACATAATGACTTTGAAACATCCTGCCCACCTGGCAGGGCTTAAAACCTTTGCTGTCAAAAAGCAAATGAATGTTAAAAGTTTTCATTCTCACAGACTCAAATACCTTCAACATCAACGAAAAATGTGGCACTAACTGCTAACGATCACTACCCCCAAATACATCCTAAATACCATAGAGGCCTTCATTGGACAAAAATATATACATCTAAAACGGATCATGATAGCCAGTGCCTGTGGGCAGAGAACTCCTGGCAGGGCCAGTCCCAGGCCCTGCACAATCAGAGCTTTATAAAATACCAATATTTTATCCAGTCTGTGCCTTTAGAAGAGTAGCACACTTAAACCCTGATACTGAAAATGGAAATGCTACTTAAAAGTTGTTATCTTTCTTGGCAATTAATTATACTACCTACTCCATCCCCCAACTAGATGCTTGTGATAACAAGGGCCTTTAGAGTGGCTACGTCTTCCTTGCATGAATAAAAAGCTATGACTCCTTATTGTACTTTGGTCACCACCTTAATGATAAAGAGATATCCTCGGCATAAGAAGCAGTCCAAGTCCATGCAGGACTCAAGCTACTTCCCAAAACGGACTGCTGATAAGTAACTTACGGTTGGACCCTTGGGCTCCCTCACCCTTTCCTGAGATGGCTCTGTATGCACTGAAATGTGTATTAAGTGTATTGTTACTAACTGTCTCGATTCTTCCCTGACGCGTGGTACTGTTGTTATCTTGAGAAAACTGTCATATGTAATGTTACCGTAAACTTGACTGAACCATGGTAGGATGCTGCCGCTCTTTATGCATTGGACTGCATTCCTATAGCTTTATCCCATCCATAACGCT